GAGAGAGAGAGAGAGAGAGAGAGGAGCCGGATACGACTAATTAATCGCAAAGAAAGAGCCAAGGTGTCGGAGGGGCCTCCACCCTGCGTGACACGGGCAGGGCTCACCATCCAATAACGGGCATCGAGAACTTAACGGGCCAGATAGCGAGCCCAAAAAGGAAATCATCTGGCCCAAAAAAGGAGTAAGATAGATTATAGCCAGCGCAAAAGACTACCAAACGCACCAGGCAGAAGAAACCGCACGAATCTCAGGACATATCTAACGGCCAAAAAATCAACAAATTCTAAATTCAAGAGACTTGCAAGTAGCTAAAGTGCGCCAACTAGCAGGAAGTACGCTTTGGTTCCTGGGTGTATATACACCTCATATGGTGAATTTTCTAATAATTAAAATAAAAGTAAAAAAAGGTTTAGAAGTTTTTTAATAAACTTGACTTTCTTTTATGCTGGTATATAAATTTTAATAAAACCCGAGCGTTGACTTCAGGGCATAAACGTCACGGTCAACTTTGCAAACAAACTGCTCGCGACGGGTGCAAAGGGTGTGTGCGTGTCACCGTGGATATGTTTTTCTTTTTGCGAGGAAACGAACTAACGAAGTATATGTAGCACGCCAACGGTTGAGCACCAATTTGCACCCCATGGATGAGGTGAAAATAGTTGCATGAACGCATATTAACATTTTTTTAGACAAGGACACATATTAACTTGTGCATGGTGAGACTAGCCGAGCGGCAGGGGTGGAGCACCAATCTACACCCATAAGGCAGGTACAAAGAAGCGTTGTTTGGATAGGTGATATATACAGAACCTGTACTTTAAAAACTAAGAAAACGGTTGAGCCGAACAAAACCTTGTTTGGTTACTAAAACGAATCCACGTATATAAGAAACTAGGAACTGTACAACCCAAGATTTCGGGTCTATAGAAAAACGAGTATTATCCATTTTTCACAAATGTGATTGCTACATGCGTGAACGCAACAGTTTTTTTCTTCACCCGCTCGTTTCTCAACAACTTTGTTGGCGTTATATGTTTTGCTGCGGGATATCCACTCACCAAGAGAATAAGAACGGGCTTATCCAAACAAGGAAGTGTACGTATCAGATTTTGCACTCTCTCAACCCAAACGTGACTTTTTATATACTGGTTATTTGTAAAATCACAACTAAAACTGATTCGGCTAAAATCCAGCTGAAAACTTGTTTTCTATATACCGATCGCTAATCCTCCTTATCCAAACAACGCCTTAGAGTGCCACGTACGATAAACAATAATAATGATAAACATACAAAGAATTACACGTAATTACAAGTTAACTAGAATTTTTTTCATCTACTAACCAATCATAAACTTTCCCCCCTATTTTTCAGGGGGAGGGCGCCTCGCCACCTATTGACATCGCCACGCACCGCTGGTTCCGGACCTGCCGCCTGCGCCGTGGCCTCCGCCGCGCTGGCGCCCGTGCTCCTCGCCACGACCTTGACCTCGCACAGCCCGGCGGCAACATCCTCGCGCCACCATCACAACAACGGCCTCTCGATCCTCCTCGCCGCGCTTGCCGCGGCCACCACAGACGCCGCCTCGCCCCCGCGTGCCATGGCTTGCCGCAGGGTTCCTGATGAGCGAGCGTGCTGTGCGTGACGGTGCTGGCGTGCGGGGAGTCGCTGGGCGACCTGGTCTCCAACGTGGCGATGGCGACCCACGGCGGCCCCGGCGGTGCGCAGACGGCCGTGTCGGCCTGCTACGACGGGCCGCTGTTCAACACGGTGGATGGGGCTGGGGCTGTCACTCACGCTGTTGGCGGCCGCGCAGTATCCGGCGCCGTTCACGCTGCCCGCCGACGCCGCCGTCTACGAGACGGTGGGGTTCCTGTGCGCCGGGCTAGCGTGGGCGCTGGTGGTGGTGCCGGCGAGGGGCATGCGGCTGGACCGGCGGGTGTACGGGGTGGGCCTCGTCCTCATCTACCTCACCTTCTTCGGCGTCCGCGTCCTCGACAGCCTCGGCCTCTGGTTCGGGTAGCGATCGCGCCACTGCAGCAGACACAAGCTGCTCTGCTCCCGTCAATGGCGGCACTGTGCGCGGATGTACGTAGGCTAGCGGACCGATGGAGGGCGATACATGGATCATCAGATGCTTGTACAGTCGTAGCAGTAGCACTAGCGATTAGCCTGTAATTATCGATTGTTTTGGTTGGCATCAAGATGATTTTCCCTCCACGGTACGTACCGAGAGAGAGAGAGAGAGAGAGAGAGAGAGAGAGAGAGAGATGGACACGAGCACGTATCGATCTGGATTAATTGCTGGGATGGAGTCCGCTCGACGGTGCGATCGAAGTGCGTCTCAGACCACGTTTGGTTGGTGGCGCCATCGATGGCCGGTGGACGGACGGACGGACGAGGGATCCCAGAATGTCGCCGTCGTCACGAAACGAAAGCATGGCGGCCGTTTTGTTCGGCCTGTGTTGATAATCCGTCCATCCCTAGGATGGATTTGCCGGCGCCGACAGACAAAATCTGAATTAGACTTGCAAGGCCAGCGAATCTTTGTTCTGCTTCCTTAAAAAAATAAGCGTGGCTTTCCCTTCTTCATTCATGCAGACGCAGGTGATGGAGCAGCAGTACCACTGTACAGTACAGTTATGGCATACACAATTCCGGGGGGAGGGGACAGACACGACTCGGTGCTTTGCTCCGGTCCTACTGCCCCCTACACATGCTTCCGGTCGGTCGGTCCTCTTTGTTTATGCGCCCCCGACGCGCTTACGCGGAAATGAATAACCTTGCATTAGGTTCGACTCGTACTCCTCGTCTGACGCGTTAGCAGCATAGGACAGGGCCTCGCCTCGCCTCGCTAGATCCTTCTGTTCGTCGACGTGTGTGCTACTCCAGTGGTAGACAAGGGCGGCGGTCGACGGGAGCAAGTAATATATACTGGTAAAGTTGGCGCTGAGCTTTCCATCTGTTGATCGAGCAGCAAATCCAAACCGTCATCTTATCTCTGCCCGTGGGAGGGAGGGAGGTCGACGTTGAAGGTTGAGCTCACCATCTCCAATGTAGTAGTACTATAACACATGACACGGCAACAAGCACGGGGGTCTCTCCCTCCTTTTCACCCCACCGCTTTGGCAATTTGCACGTCGCCGTCATGCGGTCACACGGTGAACGTACGTATGGTATACTCTACAATGGAGCGGTAGCTCTCACGCGGTGTCAAGAAAAGACGGCGCAATTAAAGTGGAGTGGCACACGTCGCGCAGGAGCAGGCCGGCGATCGCTACGGCAGGGTGGTAGCAATCTACGCCGTGCATGACCACCACCACCACGACGACAACGACGACGACGACGACGAAAGGAAGGAACTGCTGCGTGCGTTTGAGCGTTTCAAGTCTCGTACGTACAGCGTAATGACAATGACACAACGTTTTGCTTTTCTTGGGTGATCCGCACCGGATAGAGTAGAGCAGTGCCAGTACTACATGGGCGATGTGACGGTTGCCGGAAGAGCAAAGCGAGCCCAAAGACGATCGATCACGGTTCCTGGATGGGCTCAACCTCTTTCTTTCCGGTTTGTTTGGCCGGTGAGCCCCTGACATCGACGTCGTGTTGCATCCTGGTGGCACGGCTCGTGTCATTTTGTTTCTTGGTTTCTTCTTACTATTGTTATTATTGTGGTCCTTTTCTCTACGTTGCATGGAAGCACCAGTGGTCTAGTGGTAGAATAGTACCCTGCCACGGTACAGACCCGGGTTCGATTCCCGGCTGGTGCATTGCATTCCCTCTTTTTTATTTGCCATTCTCGTTTTTTTCCTCCTCTGTGTTGCTTTTCAGTGACACTGTTTTCACATGTTCCGAGGAATAACTTCCTACGCGAACCAGACAGTATTTGTTTTGAGAACCTGAGGAATACTAACTCTGAAGCCTGACACCAAGCTGGGCCATTCTGCATCTACAAAACGCCCCGTGAGGAGGAGGTAGGGCCTGCAGAGCCCAAGCCCCACGACCAGATTCCCAGGCCCACCCGGTCTTGCCATTTGCGCTCTCTTAAACGTGAACCACGCCCGCGCCTGACTCCTCCCACCACAGTTCCTTCGACCTGGACAGTGCATGCCAACGACATACATGTACTACGTGAGCACGCGCAAATTTGAATGGATTAAAATTTTTTAAACGGATACACATCACTGTTGGATGTATAAATGTACGCGCAGTCTCGCCGATCCAGTAGGTGCAGGCGCCGGACTCGCTCGCCCGGCTCGCGGTACAGTACAACGGTCGCTGGCAGCCAGGGACCTCGCTAGCTCTACCTCTAGCTCTAGCTAGGTGCTTGGGTCCTCAGAAATCATCATTCCCGTCGACCGCTCTACTGCTCCAACGTCTTCATGCGAGCTGCGGGGAGAGCCGGCGACAGGAGTTTACATGCGGCCAGCCAGTGCTTCGGCAAGACCGTCGGTGTTACTGACTGATTCCGTCCTGCTCCGGCAATTCAAACACACCTCATCGTCTTCGTCTTGTGTGCTGCGAATCCTGTGAGACTCCCGTGACTCGTCTGCTTTCGTTTGAATTTAACGTGGGTCACCTGGAGTGCTGGACCATCAAGGCTACATGTTACATGCAATGCAAGCTAGGCTACGGGCATACAAAGATTGATGTGTACAGTCTCATTTTCTTCTTCTTCAAAAAGATCAAATCTTATAAACATTCACCGGAAATGCAAAGCACCTCAAACATCATAAAACAAATATCGAGGTCCATGGGCCATTGAATGACCATTGCCGTCGGATCGAGTCACCGACGCGCCCTGTCGTCGTTTCCTTATTGGAGCCGGGAAGTCTTTGTGCACAAACCCCTAAGGACCAGCGTATTCGAGCCTCAGTCGCCGTCGTTGAGTTGATTGGAAGGACTTGACACCAAGTCTTGTCATTGCGTACGCATGTCGAGAGATTTTAACCTCGCCGCCCAAATGATCTCTTAATGTAACCATCTTGCTTGAGTGTTTTTACTCATTGGCTCCGCCTCGCGATAGCATATGTCATACTTCACTCGTGGAGTGGCAGGTCACCGAAGAAGAAAATCGCATGTCTCCAATGCAAAGCACCTTCGAGAAGTTAAAATCGGCCGCGTCATGATGTTGGTAATCCAACCGAAAGTTAAGCCTGAGGCTATCACCAACAGTACAACTATGAGCCAACCCTCTCCATCAGAAAACGACGCTTAGCGTTGACTATACATGATCAAACCGAAGACATTTCTGCCCCCCAAATGAATATTTCTTCAATGATAAACCTCAATATCACCACCCATCTCTACCAGCAAATGACACATAACTTCTTTTTTGCGGGGAACACATAACTAGCCAGCCAAAAGATATACCGCGGAAGAGGATGCTCCATCACGTCATTTCTGGACGCTCTAGCACATCAGATCGTGTGGGTAAGCCGTGTTGTTGTGTTGTGTTTGATTTCCAAATTGGCTGTCCAAGTGGGCAAAGAACCAATGAAATAAATACTGAAATATGTGAAACAAATGAAGCAACATGGATTTCCATAATCCGTAGCGGTGCTAAACGAGCCTAAAGTTAAGATAAACATAGAAATAAATACTAAAAGCAATCAACATGGATTAGGCAAACATGATTGTGATAACCCACAGTAATACAAATGTAGCCTACATTGATGGAACAAAAGAAGGTTCGCTCCACAGTCCACACTCGTCGTGTTTTTTTAGTTGTCCACACTCATTGTGCTAAGCGATGAAATTGCCACCATAGCACACTCATTGGCCGACCCAGAAAAAATGCTCTGCGTGTGGCTCCCTTTCGTCTTCCTGGCGCACAGTGTATCCCGACTACACCAACTCATTTGCGCAGCACTGAAGCGGGGTCAACGTACTGTATTGTCTCGTCTGTCATGCTGTAGTGATTTTAGTCATTGTAGGGTCACGGGGCACTATACTGATTCGAAAAAAGTTCCCTCATATGTTTTAATTTACGAATTTGAAAAATGTTCATAGTTTTGAATCCAAGATTTTTAGAACTTGTTCATGAATTTGGGAAGAGCTCGTTAAATTGGAAATTTTCCGAACCTAAAAAAAGCTTTACCATTTATAAAGATGTTCAAGATTTCGAAGAAAGCACATGGATTTGAAAAAAGTTCACGGTTTTCAATAAATGAATTTTGAATTTTGAAAAATATCACATATTTGAAAAAAGTTCGCTACTGCTGAAAAGTTTAACAGATTTGAAATGTGTTCATGAAATTTTGAAAATCAAGGAATTAAAAATTATTCATGAAACTAAAATCTAAATCTCAAATTTCAAAATGTTTGCAATTTTCAAAAAAGTTTCACGGAATTTGATTTTTTGAATTAAATTTATTTAAAAATAATGAAAAACGAAAAATGCAAATGTTAAAAGCAAAATAATAATGAAAACCCGTGAAAACCTAGCCCCAAAACTGCTGGTACGAATAATGGGCCGTCAGCCAACTTACATCCTAGCAAGCTGTAGCTTCTTAAGCGCTAAATAGGACCTGGCAAAAATTCTAGTGTTGTTTCGCTCATGAAGAAAACCGTTTTGCAGGCTTTGAAAGAAAAACAGAAATTCTGAGAGTGTATTATTGAAGAAAGTAAATGTCCACACATTTCATAGAATAATTCAAAATTTTAACAGCATATTCTTTATTTGTTTTAAAATATTAATAATTTTTATAACCTTGAAGATTTGTTTGAAAAATATTCAACGTTTTCAGAATGTCCTCAAATTATTGAATTGTGCCTGATTTGTTTTATAAATATCCACAAATTACCCATACAATGGCGATTTTCTAAAATTTGCAATAAAAACCAGAAAACAAACCCCAAAGAAGAAAGTGAGAAAATAAAAATGATAAAAATGGCTTTAAATCTTGAAAAATGAAAATAAATTTAAACCAGAAACTCCACAAAAGCCGTTAGAAAAATGAGAGAAGAAAAAAACTTTGCGATGTAGCGTTGCACTGTGCAATTTGTATCGATTTTCCACTATTCTTCGCATGGCGCGAAGAATAAGATTTTTTCGAAGAAGGAGAAAATGACCGCCAAAAGTTGTCATTTTTTTCGGAAAAACTTTGATCTATTCATCTTTAATCATGATAGTACAACGAACATCAGAAATAAAAATTATATCCAGATTCGTAGTCCACCTAGCGACGACTACAAGCACTGACGCGAGGCGAAGACGCGTCGCCGTCATCGTCTCTCCATCAGTGGAGTCTGGGCACAACTTGTCAACATCAGCTATGGTGCACGGGCCACGGCAATGCCAGCCACCTGGCTGAGATTCCGCCCGCTCAAGCTGAACCGGAAAGCATATGCCTGCTTTGTTTGTGGTATCTGAAGTTTTCTAGTGAATTCGAGGCTAGCTGCTCTATTTGTTTTCCTTTCACCCAGAGTTGCATGGCCTCTAGAAAAGACAGTCCCAGTTAATCTTCAGAACATGAGTTCACCTCGGGAGTTACTCACACATATGCGTCTCATTATCGACAATCAATCTGCACAATGCTTACTATACATGTTGTAAAATCTGCACAATCAGTCTACACAATGCTGTAAAATTCACACGTTCAATCGTTATCAACACCCCAACGAATGTATCCTTTTTGGGACATGCATGAGCATGACCAAATCTTAGCTATCGTGAAGCAACCAACCAGTCCAACTATTTTCCCAACAAACAATCCAACCAACGAATCCTACGAAGAATGGCCACACGCAAAGCAAGCCAGCATCTTGGAAGCGAAGCCACTCCTCTTCTTCGACGGCGGCAACGGCGGCATGGTGGGGATGTGAGACCCGTCCTTGCCGCACTTCTTGCACCGCTCGCACTCGTCCTGGAAGGCCTTGAAGGCGCCGTTGCAGTACCTTGCGGCATCCGCCACCGTCATGCCCTCCACCAGCTTGTGCGGGTACGTGTCCTTGGCGTGGTCGCCGTTGAGCGCCGCGCCTAGCTGCACCAGCTCCGCCTGGAAGTCCGAGATCGTCGCGTGCTCCGCCGCCTCCGCTGGCCGCATCTTCACCGGCTCAGGCAGCGTGGCTACAATGCATGCGAGTCACATAACATACAATTAACACATGCATCATCTGCTGCACTACTAAGATGCGAGGTACAGACCAGGGCAGTCGGTGCGCGGGGTGTCACGCGTAAGGACCACGTCGAACGTGCCGGCCCATGCATCGCGCTTGGTCAGGAAGCTCCCGAGGTTGAAGATCTTCTTCACGGTGGCCGGGATGGACGAGTGCTCGAACTCGGACGTCGGGTGCGGCCCTGACGGCCTGTGCACCACCGTCCCAGGCTCGATCCAGGGGGAGATGAAGAAGGCCGGGACGCGGACGCCGAGGCGGTCGAAGTTGAAGAAGAAGGGAGCGTCGCTAATGATGCCGTCGGGGCTGGGGACGCCCACGGGGGTGGGCACGTGGTCGTAGAACCCACCGTGCTCGTCGTAGGTGATGACGAGAAGCGTCTCCTCCCACTGCGGCCCCGAGCGCAGCGCCTCGTAGACCTCCTTGACGAACCTCTGGCCCTCGGAGACGTCGTGCGACGGATGGTCGTCGTTGCCGGGGAGGATCTTAAGGTCGAAGTAGCGCTGCTCGACGACCACGTAGTTGGGCAGCTTCCCCTCCCGGCAGTGGCGCCGGAACTCGAGGTCGAACGGGTGGAAGTTGCCGATGTACTTAAGCTGGCGGAGGTTCCGGTAGAAGAGCACGGACGGCGGGTACTGGTAGTAGATCCCGAAGGAATGGCCGGCGTCGTGGAGGGAGTCGAAGATGGTGGTCTGCGGCAGGCCGGCGACGAGCGCCTTCGTGTTGTTGCTGACGAGGCCGTGAGACGTGGCCGAGTGCACGAACAACCGGTTGGGCTGCGTGGACGCCGGGTTGGACGCGAACCAGCGGTCGCACACGGCGAACTCCTGCGCGAGCTCGCGGTACACGGGCACGGCGTCCGGCCTGAACCCGCTCATGACCGTCTCCGCCATGCCCGGCTTCTCCTTCTCGGCCTGCTGGGCGAAGCCACTCATGGGTGGCGCGGGGATGCCCGGTGGGGTGATGGGCGTGGCCTGGGCGTCGACGAAGGGCGTGCCGTAGACCTGCTCGTAGATGGCCTGGATGGAGTGGCCGGGGTCCGGGTCCACGTACTGGGAGCCGTCGCGGAAGGGGACGGCTTTGGAGCTCGGGTCGGCGACGACGACGCGGTTGGTCTCGGCGCCGGTGACGCCGTCGATGTCCGGGTTGAGGGACTTCATCCAGCCCAGCATGTGGTCGAAGGAGCGGTTCTCCTGCACCACCACCACCACCGTCTTGATCTTGCCCGCCATTGTTTCTACTATGCTAGTTGCTAGCTGCTTGCTATTGATATCTACGAGCTAGCTGCGAGATGGAGAGATTTGGGACGAACACTATAAATAAGATCGAACATATAGAGTACCCAAGAGTGTAGTTGAGTGTGGGGATGGAAGAGTTCCAAAAAGAGGCTCAATTTTGTACCAGTGGGATATTCCTTGGCAGAGAAACCCATCAATCAACAAGAAAGAAATGAACTGAAAATGAAAGGGGGACAAGGCTTGCCTGACACCTCAACGCATGGCGTCGAAGGGAAAAATATAGTTGAGGCTTGGCGGCAAAGTGTTCGACAGCGCTGTGCTACCTAATTAAGAATTTATTTAAGCTGCAACTGCCTATTTTTTAACACTGTACAACCGCAAATATCCACATACACGCACATGATTTATGTATATGAATGCACGCAAAGCACGTCGTGCTGAAAATTTAGTTAAGTACGTACTCCCTCCCTTCCAAATTACTCATCGTGGTTTTAGTTCAAATTTGAACTAAAATCTAATTTGAAACGAAGGGAGTAGATGCTAGGACATTTTGACTTTTCAAAAAGTATTTGAAATAATGTTAATTAGCTTCTGCGTCACGCAAATTCGTCACATGCATGCATGCTTGCCGTCCCAGAAAAACCGTGTTGAACACTTAAAACAGGTTAGAGATCGATGCTCATTGCGCGCCAGCCTGCCCCAGTGCATATATTCAGAGAAAACTAACAAGTTGTAGCTCAACTCTTAATTTGATTGACGAGACTAAGAGCATCTCCACTAGATGATGCAAATTTAGAGATAGAAAAGTGGGTCTTGCATAATTTGCATCACTAAAATGTGTTTTTTATGTCTTCAAAAAATTCTTAACTCCAACAAATGATGTATATTTGATGATGTAAAACTCTAACTCCAACAGATGATGTCAAAACAGCTAATGGCCGCGCGACAGCCGTTGTACAATAGCATAGCAATGTCCTCTTCTACGGTCAAATTGAATTCCTCATCAAACGAGGATCATGCACGAAAAAGGCGTCGCACGAGCTCATCTGCAATACGAAAATCACCGTCGAACTATATCTTCACTCCCGTTAAAAAAACTCGTAGTTTGCACGATTTTTTTTACCTTGGGAGAATTTGCTCGAACACATTGCGTGCGATGTGGAAGAAACAGACCGCCGGCGGGTCGGAGAGTTGATGGCCGGCACGAAGCCCGTATGGGGTGGGCGGCGGCTGCAGACGACCCATGGACGGTCGCGTTGCTGCCGGAGAATACCGCTCGTGGCAACGCGCTGGCGATGGCAAAAACCAAGATACCGACGACCGCTCCGCGGGCGACCGAGCATCGTGCGGCCACCCTTTTAGCTCCGGCGGCGGGCAGCGGCTACCAGAAAGCGGTTGATAGTGGGTGCGGCTAGTATGGTAGCCGGAGCTCGGGCGAATCTCTGAATCGGCCGCGCGGTCGTCGGCGGGGCGAAATCAAATCGGCAGCGGGGATTGGCGGCAGGGTCGGAGATGGACTTGCGGGCGGCGTTTGCGGGCAAAAATCGCCGGAGGTGGAGGCGGGCGGGTTTTGGGTGAAAACGAAATGAAGACTGGTTGGGCGATTGGCACGCGAGTCGACTTTTAAATCACTTGGAATTTGCATCTCCAAGTGTTGTATTTTACATCACTTGAAGGAGGTGTTGTAATTTTTTTTTGTATCTACATTATCTATTGGATCATCGTTTTGAGGCCTTAGAGATGTATGATTTAGTTATTTTTGCATCTACATCTTCTATTAAAGATGCTCTAAGCCATCACAATATAGAAATTGATGAAGTCGTCTAGTCACTTCGCATGTCATATCACCACGGGGAAAAACCTGACAGAAAGCCTAAAATAAATATAGAAAATATGCCAAGTCTAAGATTTAGATTTGGACGGACTAGCTTGACCGCAGGGAACATACCCATCAAAGTTATGTTTGATACGATGCACCTTTCACCGTTATGTTTGCCAATTACCTCGTCTCAGTTGTGACTGGTGGCCTTCTTAATGCGAGCAACCAAACACATCCTTAAGTACATAGATGCACATTTTGACTTTTCTGAAAGTATTTGAAATAATGTTAATTAGCTTTTGCGTCACGCAAATTCGTGACATGCATGCATGCTTGCCGCCCCAGAAAAACCGTGTTGAACACTTAAACAGGTCAGAGATCGATGCTCATTGCGCGCCAGCTTGCCCCGGTGCATATATTGGCAGAAAAAATTAACAAGTTATAGCTCAATTCTTAATTTGATTGATGAGACTATAAGCCGTCACAATATGGAAATTGATGAAGCCGCCCAGTCACTTCGCACGTCATACCACCATGAAAAAAAAAACTACAGCAAGCCCAACAAATACAGAAAATATGCGAACGCCTATGCCATGTTTAAGATTTAGATTTGAACGGACTAGCTTCACCACAAGGAACATATACCAATCAAATTTATGTTTGATCTGGTGCGCTTTTTCACGGTTATGTTTGCGAACTATCTCGTCTCAATTGTGCGGTAGTGTTAAAAAATATCTTACATATAAGACGGATGAAGTAGTAAATGTTAATCTTGTGTCTGTCGCGCTCAAAATAATTTTAATTTTTGGTCGTGATTGACGGCCTTTTTAATGAATTCGTTGTTCTTGAATAAAAATCGGATAAAAAGTTCGACGTAGTTATAGAGACACTTTTTTTAGAAAAGGATGATGACCCCGGCCTCTGCATCTAAGTAATGCATACGGCCACAGTTACAGAGACACCTACAAACGATAGCATGCATGCCTGATTAGCTACCCGATGATTATGCACGCGGATAGCTAGCGATCGTGCAAATAAAAACCGCACGCTGCGGTGTACATCGTCACTCCCTATTAAATTTTCCTTGGCTTTGCTTCACAGTGATCCTTACTTGCCAAAGAGAGATACACGATCGTAGATGCCTGAGTAGAGCAGCAACAGCACATATCCAACGACACCAACTAACTAAACTGCTGTCTAGCTAGCTAGCTAGATCCTTCCTATTTCGTGCCTGATCGTATCTCCGGTCGACTCATGAGATGAGCCACGTGCGAAAATGCTTTGCCCTTGCTTATGCGTCCGGGATCTGCAGACTGCAGAGTATAGTTATAATCGATCAGTCTTGTAGTTTTTGTTGGTACACGTATATCAAAATTATCGGCTAATGTCATTATATCACTGAATATATATATATTTTTGAAGACCACCTCTTAAATTAATTAATCAAAAGAGACGTCACAATCTATTCATTACAGAATTCATCATACAGGTCGGTACATCATTAACAAGAAGACCATCCGATCTATTGTCAAGCAAAGCAAGACTTTGCAATTAAATGTACTACCCCATTGGCCGAGCGGCTAGTCTTATTAATTTGTAAACTACTATTAATCAGCTTAGAGATACTCATTGCTTCTTTCTTCAAATCGAGCAAAGTTGACCTATCAAAAAGATCATTTGCAAGGGACGCAACAGCAAACGCACAGTCAGTCTCTAAACTTATAGGACTGTGGAGAGTAATACCTATATAAAGACCGGCAATGCATGCCCATAGCTCCGCTTACTCCACGCTTTTACAGCACCCAATGAAACCCCAAGATATAGTGACATTCTCAGAAGAATCCCTGGCCACC